ATGGTTTGCAAATACAATCATCATATAATATTATTATTTACATCTTAAAATATATTTGTTGAGCAATTGGGTACGAAACATCGCAGTAATACCACTAGATATCCACGTAATATGCAAATACACTTCTTTTTTTTTTGTACTTCCCACTTAGAAAAAAAGGACAATTCACCTTTTTTTTTTTTTATTTATTGAAGGATTAGGAAACAGACATAAGAGGACCGTTCTATAACCAGAGGCCTGTGAGAGGTACTTCATGTGTTACAACACACAAAGAAAATGTCTTACAACAAGATGGCACATCAGTGTTTTTTTTTTTTTTTGTGTTGTTTTTTTTTTTTTTTTATTTCTCCACAAAGATCTGAGCGAAAACATTAGGGCTTCAGACACTCTCTTTTCTTACACTCCCCCCGTTTGCTTCATAATGACGCGAAGTCTCTGCCATTTTTAGACAAGAAATACAAAAACCGGGGTGTTAAATTAGAAACAAAGGAGCAACTGTTGGTGGTAAAACGTGGAGAGGTATCAAAGCCTGTCAAAAAAAAACACTGCTATACACATCGTATTATGCGATAAGCGCAGGCTGGAGGTGAGGAGAACTGTGTTCCTTCAGCCTAACTTCAAAAGGCTCCGTAAGCTGGGCAAACATCCTCTCTCATTTTCACAGGCCCAGCTTGACCCTGGCCGCCCTGCGCAGGCATACCTGACAGTGACAGATGAGGCAGTGTGTCGAGGAGTCGGGAGGTGGAGGTAGTACGGGGGGGGGGGAGGGAGGGAGGGGCGGTGGGAGTCCCAGAGAGGGATGGCTGCCACCCCCGGGAGAAACTCTGACTCATTGGCCTCGGCGTGTTGCCAGTCAGGCTGGCCACCCCTGGCCCAGGGGCAGCCTCTGTGAGTACACATTTTCACACCTGGACAAATAGCTAGACAGGCCAGGAAAAGCAGCCCACCCATCCCTACCTCTCTCCCTGCCCACCTTCTACTTTTCTCTCCCCCACCCCACCATCCAAGAACACTCACCATCGGCTGCCTTCTGACCTCCAGTCCTCTTTTTTAAAATTTTTTTCCTTCATTTTTTTTTTTGATCCCTTACTTTGCCACTTGCCCATTTCCTCCTGCCCTCAGGCGGCTGTGTACATCCATCCCTTGTGCCTTACGCCGGCTCTCAAAAACATTATTTGCTATATTATGGATTTATGACCATTTATATACTTGGTTCTCTTTTCAGAACTCCTAATGGCTAATGTGTGCATTTTTAAAAAATAATGAGAAACAAAAACAAAAACATTACATTCTGGTTTTAAAAGAAAAGAAAAAAAAGAAGATACACTGCAATCAGTAACGTTTAAACAAGGTGAATCCTCATTGGATGCCAGCAGTATCCGTCTACACATAATGACCAATGAGAGAAGTTCTTTTTGTTTTTGTGGTTGCGGGGGTAAATTGTACTGTTGGTGTCGGATCAGCGCTTGGCAGCAACGATCACAATAGATTGTGACGACAGAGACAAAAAAAAAAAAAAAAAAAAAAAAAGACAGTTTTGACTCACAACCTATAACGTGTTGGTTTATAAGAACAATGTAAAAAATAACTTACATGGACATTAAATATAACTTAAAAAAGTATAACACTCTCAATAAATAGTTCTACTATTTACACCATATTGTTATGAGACGCAAAAAATGTCACTAAAATACCAAAAAAAAAAAAAATATAGAAGCAGCAAACATTACAGGCATGAGGTACAGCAAGGGATCCTGTGATGACTACAGTAGAGAGGTGATGTCCTCATCCAATGCGCAATTGTATACTTCCTCCCATGACTATCTTGGTCAGCTATGGCTTATGGGTACCTTCTCCAATATTAAGAATATAATTTTTTTTTGTTTGTTTTTTTTGTTTTTCAAGTTGACATGCAGTCACATTCTGTAGCCTTTCTTAGCAATAACAATCAGTTGTTTTGGTATCCAGACATTGACTGATGATAATTGTTGAGGAGGATATTTTCTAAGTTAGAAGCAGATTAAATTTGTACAACGAAGGGAAGAATCCAACGACAGGTCGGATTCGTCCCGTTCGAACGACTGGAATGGCTTTCCAGTGACCTCTCAGTGGCGGGCGATGAACCGCCGCACTGCGTGTCATTGGTTGTAGTGTAGTGATTGCAGGTCAGTCTCCCCCCCACTGGTAACAGTTCTATGTAAAGCAGCAGTATCTGGAGTAATAATATTACATATAATTTGATAATATCAACATAATACAAGTCTTTTTTTTTTTCTCTTTTTCTTTTTTTTTTTTAACCAGGGCTATATAGTTTTCATATAAAGTGTTAAATGCAATCTTTGAAGATGATGAATCCTTTAGAGTGTCCTTACAAAGTTTCATATTTCATAAAAGTTACAAAGTCTTTCAAGAGTCCCCCTCTTTTTTTTCTTTTTTTTTTTTAATGGGAATTTCTTCATTTAACGCTTTTTCTTTCTTCAACATCTCTCGGTTTCTCTGCCAAAATGTACAACCTAAGATCACACAGAAATCAAGGAAAAAACAAAAAAAAAAATAAATCTGCCATCTTGCAAGACCTTAAATATGCGACAATATACTTCTAAAAATGCCAACTTGTTTTGGATTGAGGGTCTCGACGGATATATGCGACAATACCTCCCTACTTGGTCGATAACGTCAAATACAAAGTCTGTTTAGGTTGGGAGAGGAGCGAGACGGTACGTCCTCCGAGTATCCAGGGTCCAAGTAAAACACTAATGACAGGAAAAGCTAATAGCAACACAGGGAGTCAAATGATCGGATATCATACAGTTTGTTTCAGATCACCATTTTTTGACAATAGCAGCTTCTAAACTTTTTTTTTTTTTTTTGAAAGATATACTTTATCTTCTTACATGACGACTAGAAAGTGCAGTAACTGAGGTCAATAATACAAACACTGATTAAATATGACATTTTCTAAAAATGAAATACATGATAATGAATACGAAAAACTTAAAAACATTTTTTTTTCAACGCTCCTGTCCGTCAAGAACATATAGTAATATTTACATGATATTTTTGATTTTTTTTCTCTCTCTCTCTCTCTTTATATTTGGTGGAAAATAATACCTTCTCACTATCTTTGCATGTTCTTATATTGTCTTCACTAACATTGTTTTTTTTTTTAAATGACATGAAATCGGTCTTGACACTCGCACAATGTAAGACCTATGACAATGATGTGGAATGCTATAGCAGCCTAATATGAGTCAGAGGGACTGTGCCAATGGCCCAAATGAAACGAAAAAAAAGGTCATAATCATGCTGATTGTAGACATGACTACGGTTGCAGCCAAACAGCAGCAGCAAACTTTGGACCGATATGCCAAGCAGCCTTCATTATCAAATGTGCATGAGAAAAAACAATAAACTAGTGTGTGTGCGTGTGTGTGTCTGGAATGACGAATAACAAAATACAAAGCTATTGTAGCAGCCATAGAGTCGAACAAAGTTAATTGGTGGGGACAGAACACCAAGTTCACAATACTGAAAAGTGCTGATCAGAACAACCAAGTGCACTTTGTACTGAAGAGAACGATTAAATAAATTACTTAAACAAGGACCCAGCAGAGAGTCTGAGGGAGCGTTTGATCGTATTGTGACTGCGAAATGCTGTGTTGACATATACATCCAAATGTCATTTTCATGTACAACCGAAGTTGCCTGCGGAGCTACAGCAGAGAGTCCAATACTACTGGGAGGAGAGAGAACGAGATGTATGTGTGTGTTTGTGGGGTATCGGGGGGGCAGATATGGTCTCCTTTCACCTATACTCATTCTCACTAAGAGCCACGAACTCAATCCAGCCCTTTGTTTCTTTACTCTTGTGTGACTGTGCTGTGCAGTGCTGTGCAATCGAGAAAGCCACAGACTCCTGACAAGCATCGACTACATTCTGAGCAGGACTGGGATGCTTTTTACTTTCAGTTTAAACAGTTTGAATCGTCGCTTGAGGTAACCGATCAAGCGGCGTGAGGGAGGAGTTCAAACTGAAACTAAAGTCACCCCAACCCAAAGTGAGGTGTTAAACATGACATTCTTTAAGTCGTGATTGACGTATGTAGTTTTTTTTTCTCGGGACAACCGGGGTGAACCGGGGAGGGGGAGGGAAATGACGAGTGAGGTTCTGGATTTGCTAAAGTTCTTTAGTGCATCTCATCTGTGGTGTTGTCAACAAGTATTCTGTATTAATGTGAGAAGTATTAACATGCGAGTGTGGATGAATAAAGAGGTACCGTAAGCAGCAAGGAAGACAAGGCTGTCTATTAGATAGTCCGATGTGAGGATGGAAAGCAGCAGAAAGCCATGCTATAAAACGTTCTATTCACCATTCAGGATTGTTGCTCTAAAATCGTCTTGGGGAGTTTCTGTGGTCGCTCGACAATTAGTTCACATTTTTGTGTGTGTGTGTGTGTGTTTGTGTGTTTGGCTTTTTGTGTTGTAACTTAACAATATGGCTGTCTTATTCCCCACCAAGCTAGAAATAACCTCTATAGCCTCTGACATGCCTATGAAGAAACACAACTTCACTGAAAAGGACATAGAGACACGGGATATCTGACCAGTTTTTGAAAACCAGGAATGGTATAAAGCCACAAACGTCTAAGCCTCCCCCTCCGGAAAGCTGTTGAAACACGTCTTCAAAGTAGTCTGAGGAATTATTTTTGAACATTTGTCTGAATTTTCCTTCATATTTGCGAAACACAAACATCAACACTATCCCCAACTTTGCACATTTTTGATTTACCTTTGGTTCAATCGTGTGATTGTAGAGCAAGGTCACTAAAATAGACACTGAAGCCAGCACAAAACTCAACAAAAGGCATGCTACCTAGGCTTGGTTATGTTTTTGTTTTTTTTTTCTTTTTTTTCTTTGTTTGTTGTCTTATTCTTTCAAAAATGTATGTATTTTTTTTTTGTTTTATCTCTTTGCTATATATGTCGTTTTTTCTTTTTAGATGATGGTATTGCAGGGGTTACTTTCCTTTTAGCTGAGAAATGAAGTTTTTTTGTGGAGTCTCATGAGTCCCATCCTCTTTTCCTAGACCTTTCTGTGATGTGGAGGCGGAGGCATTTCAGCTGGTTGGAGTTGCGTTATGGATGGAGAGGTATGCCTTTTAAGCAGCATGTGCAGGAAATTGGAGGCCGAGAGGGAGGATGAAGGAAGGGGGGGGGGTTTTGCCTCGGCCGCTCTGGCTGTGTTGAGTTGGAGAAAGGGTCCTGGGACGTTGAACAGAGGTCCCTGCTCAGGTTGGTCACCCCAGGGAATGGACGTGTTCATCCTTTCTGTTCTCTATGGCGTTGGGATCCCGACAGGAGCACTCATCCCGGATGTCACAGGACATGGGGAAGGGAATCACCTGGGTAGAAGACAGGGAGATGTATTAATTGCCTGCTCTACAACCCAATTATCCATCCGGTGCATCCATCACAGATGCAGTAGTAATAAGATCCCAAATGTCAAAAACACCAGGGCAATGCATGGAAAACGTAGCTTCTTTCTGGTGTGAATAAATAGCGTGATAGCGTTTAGGTAACGAGCAGAACGATGACGCAAAGCCGGTTTGGCACCTCCATGGAAGCGCCGTGTAATCAAAATAAAAATCAAAGAAATGTGAAGTTCCATTGAAGTTTGAAGTTTACGGAATCCTTCCAGCTGACATTAACAGTCTTTTACCACCTCTCTCTCTCTCTCTCTCTCTCTCTCTGTCTCCGTCGAGCCAGCTCGCTGTCTTTCTTTCCCCTTATCGTTGATGCAAACCAGATTTTTCGCAAATGCCAAACAGGTTTGAAATTTAATTGGTGTGAATCTCATTAAGACTGATTTGTCTTGTTTTGTACATAAAATTCTGTGTACAAAGTGTACCTAGAGTTAAAATGTTGTCTCCGCCGTGTTACTAGAGTAACACTTCAATACGACGTCAGTTAAAGAACAGCAAAAGGAGACGGTTCCAAGAATCGACACCTGCGGGCCAATGGGAAGTAACAGCTCTTCTCAGGGTGAACAGATATGTGACACCGTCAAGTGTTATGGAAAAAAAAAAAAAAGCGTATGTTGTTTTTCCCCCCTTGACACAAACTCACAGGAGAGTTTTTTCTTTTGCATTTGCTGCCCATAGAAAACCCATTTTATATCCCAGTTACTTACAGTTGATATTGTCTGATGTCAAACTACAATCCTGGAGGTGAAAAAAAAAGAAAAGAACCGGAAGATCAGCGGCCAACGCCCCTGGCTTTGATGTCACTGGATAACGTTGGCAATGCGTCACCAGCACCAGCTGCTGCTGCCTTGTTTGCTCGCCTCTCGGGGGGCCTGCTTCAGCTGTTTGGGTACACAAAATGTGTCCCCCTTCTCCAGGCCAAACAAGAAACACATGTGGTTCAAGTCATGGCAGGCAGGCAGGCAGCAGACCAAGGACATGTCTGCATTTGCGTCCCGGTGGCTAATGTTATCAATCTGTGGGAGGCCTGTGGTCACTGTTGCTTTTTCTTATTAGGGCTAAGTGGTATTGCCTTTTTTTTTGAACAATGAGTTTGAGTATACGTTGTAAATGTAACAACAATACCGGCCAATGCATCTAACACAAAGTTGACAGCGCGTCTCATGCCAAAGACAGCTATTAGTGAAAGCTATCTGGCTGCCGTGGGAGGGGGTTTGTTTCCAGGGGAGGGTCACGGCGCTATTATCTGAATATATAGTAGCTGCTGTATAATTACCAAGACCTCTTCCGTAATGCCATCGGACAAATTGCATCATAAGCTAATACTATCTCAGAGGGTTAGTTAGGTAATTACTGAATGCATTAGCAAAGAATGACCAAGACATTAGAATTTCTGATCCACTAAGAGATGCATTCATAACAACAACAGAGTTTTGGGACTTTGAAGCTGACTCACTTCTTGGCTAAAATCGTAAATCCAAATTCATCTGGTTTTGCTGGGTATTAATACGACCTTTTTTTTTCATTTGTGACAGACTGCTCACAACTTGGGCCAAATGTTTTCAGTTTCCACTAATTTTCACAGAGAAATATTTCTTTGTAATTAAAAAAACAGATCCCTTTAAAGTGATATTGATCCAGACAGGCTCTGACCACTGTTAAATAAGTTCCTCAGCTCAGAAAATCATCCAGTAATTCAGTGAAGGGGAAACTGGTAGGAAAGCAACATGACCAAGAACATGAAAAAAGGTGTTCTGTGTTATAAAGAGTATACGTTTAAGTAAAAATAGACTTTTGGCACTTTTTATTTGTGCATTCTTTTAAATAAAAACCTAAAATAATCAGCCCCTTCTTACATCCTGCTATAGTTGCGCAAAAACTATGTCATGAAATTGGTTTAACAATCAGCTCTGGATTGCAGTGTAAACTAAATGCTTGAAATATAAAATGTTATAGTTGCTGGTAAATGCAACACACAGGAAACAGCAGCAATAGTTTGTGAGAATCGGGGATTTATAGACAGCAGGTCTGTGGAATGACATGGGGGAGCATGCTAGTCATTGAGGAGCAGTGACGCAGGCTCCCCTTTGAAATGGGGTATAAAATACGTTGTTTGTGTGTGGGGGTGGTGTTCCTAATGCGAGGGCCAGGTGGGCAGTGCCCAGACTCCACTGAGAAAATGAGGCCTACGTGTGACGACTTTACAAGCCCAAGGCCGGACACACTTCAGAAACAGTTGTCAACTGCATGACCGGTGCTTCCTCTGTGGCATTTCGAAGCCAAGACCGCGGGGCTCCTCATTCCTACCTGACTCTTTGTCAGTTTAAGTACAATATCTCTCACTTCAACACTTTCACCGTGTTTCTTTTCGAGTCTCTTCCCTATTTGCCTCGCTTTATGACTCCCCTCTCTTGCAGCACACTTTCCCGCTACACCTCCCACTTCTCCAGTGCACTTCACTTCCCCTCCAAGGCCACTTCTGTTTATCTCTCTATCTAGAGAATGATGGTGGGTGGCAAATTTGACATGGTTTCCTTTGACCTTGACCTCCAGGGTGGCTGGGCCAGCTGCCACATCTGGCCCTGACTTAAGGTTCTCTCAGGGTGGCTGGGAAATGGGACTGACTGGCCTTGTGGGCCTGGGGGCCCTCATGCTGCCGCATGTCCCAGGGCTAGAGGAGGGCTGGGCGAGGACACCCACTAACAGCAACATGAAAGCCCTTCTGAAGAACGCAGACCTTGTCAGAGCCCCATCCTTCCATCTCAGGAACAGGTCAAAATAACACAGAGTTCCTCTCTACATTTCTGTGTGTGCAGTATGTGCGTGTAAGCCAGTGCTTAAAGGAAAGAAGGTGGTGTAAGGGGCACAGGGCTGGGGGGAAAGGGAACTGGCTGATCTAGAGAAGCATACCGCACTGTTCATTAACAAGTAACTGGGGTTATTAGAGGGAATTACAACTCGCAATATGTTTGTCAAAGTATATTTAGAAGCCTCTAACACGGATCTTTACATTTCTTAAACTCATTTCTGTCCACATTAGTTAAGAAACAAACAACGACACGAATGGAAACATATAGCCTGCTCGCGAAAGGAGCAAAAAAACTGACATCTGCTCCAGCCGACGCACGCATCTACAGTCACATGTCACATTAACAAGTCTCACGATTTCAGACACCCTCGCACGACAGCACGATCACTAACAGCGTACCGCGAGCCCTAAAATTAATCATTAGCGTGGAGCACATCAAATAAATCAGTCCATTGGATCGATGAGCCAAGTTGTCTAAGAACTTCTAAGAAAAATCAGTCTAAGAAGAAGAAGAAAAAAAAAAATTGGAAGAAAAAACAAAAATGCTGTAAATACAAAACTTGAATGAGAGCAATAGAAAGAAAAGTGAGGGAAAATAAAAATTTTAACAGATCAGATTTGGAAGGAAAAAGAGCAAGTTAAGTGCAAAAGAACACATTACCGAGTTTGGCAAAATAAGTGCAAGCTCTTGGCGTCGGTCGACAGCCAAAACCCCTAAAAACTGTAGGGAGTGTGTCCTCCTGGTGTGTAACTACCTTTGCTCAGCTGTGTAGAAAAGCCCTGCTCCTCCTCTCCACGTTATGCTTATGTATTTTTGCCCGTTCCACCCTCAGCGCTCTCAAACACAGATAAACACATAAAAACGCTGATTAAAGGAACCTTTGGCTTTGCGCTGCTCATTTATCGCTTTTCCATAAACCTTAAAAAAAAAAAAAACAGCTATTCCTAATACACTTCTGAAGAAATATCCCTACTTTATGCTCGGGTATCTTTAATTGCCCTGGCAGGGCCTTTGGTAATGGGAAATAAAGTCAACTTAGCTGCCCTCAGACATCTAAAAAATAAAGATCTGTTGATGGCGTGTGCTTTAGGTCTCCGGTTATGTGAATAATTGATGTAAAACAAGTCCGACAATAAAACGCAGAGGAAGAAGAGCTAATATTATTAATAGCCGCTGCTACGCGTCTATCTATATCCGTGTCTCGGCTCCAAAAGTGGAGTCTGGCAATTGTGGTAACACATTTCGAAAGGGAGCAAAGGGCTTTGCCTACGTGAGTCACCAGCACAGACAGAGGGGCTAGCGGTTAGCGGTGGATATCACGGCCCATCAGCTTAGACACAAACATCAATCACGACACATACCGAGTCACGTATTGAGCGTACTTGTGCCAGACTGAGAGCTGTAAACAGGAGCGAGGCACTGAGAAGGATCTCGGCAATTACCCGAGAACCCCGACAGAAATACATACAGGCACATTCATAAAAAAAAAAAAAAAAAAGTCGTCTCAGAAGAGGCCAACTACATCCAAGAAAGAAATTCCTTCCAAACTAGATGGGGGGCTACAAAAAGGGTCTTACGCAGGGAACCCTCGAGATAGGCATACTCCGTGCCCTCGCTTCCTCTCCTGCCTGCCTCTCCAAATCCAGCCAACAGCTTGCAACTATTAAGGGGAGATCCTGTGGTGACCTTACGTGCAGCCAGTCCTTGCACCTTCAAAGCTCCTGGGGTGGAACAATACACAGCAAGTCATCCAGAACTCCTTAATACACAAATCTTTACCAAAACAAAAAGGCAATCGCAGCATTTGCTGGGAAGCAGAATGAAACCAAACGAGCAGAGTTCCATTGTTTTTCACGATTTTTTTTTCCACTGTTTTCACCTCCAGCCAATTACTCAGCTCTTATCGGCATGAAGTGCTGCGATGACGAGGAAAAAGAGAAGAGGAGAGTCGGAGGGGGGGGGGGACGGAAAACTTTGATGACTGAAAATAGCCTGATTGCTACAATATCTTAAGGTTTGTTTGGAAAGATCAGGAATTGTTCAAATGTTGTATCTGGAAGAATCGGTGTTTTCTTTTTTTAAAAAATGCGGATTTTTCGTATTGAACCA